TGGACGAAGCGGAGTCCAGCCCGGGGTCGTCACATGTGGTTGCCGCAAGCCTCCTTCGTCGAATCCGCCGGCCTCACCGTTCTCAAGGCAGCCACCTCTGCTCACTCTAGCCCTCCGGCCGTTCCTCACTCTAGCCCCCAGCCTCTGCTCACTCTAGGCCGCCGCCGCTCACTCTAGGTCGCCGTGTGTGACGCTGTTTCTCGTTGTGAAAGTGAAACTACTTTGTTTGACTTTCCAAAAAATGGACACGACTAGAAATCAGTGGTTAAGTTGTATTTACAACACTGTTCCAGAACACTTCAACCCAAATATTCAGATGTGTGCAGCACATTTTATGGAGGACTGTTTACTGATCCTGGTAGAGTAGACTACAATGCCGGCTGTTCTGACTCACACATTGTAAGTACGTTTTTTATATTTAAAGAGTTTTTATATTTTTTATATGTTTTTTGGGCAGTGTAGAGTAGGGCTTGTTGTTTGTCATTTCTCCGATCACAAATGCAGACATGGTTTTATGTTTACGCAATGCGTAAAAAGACAGTATAAGACCATCCATAATTATGTCCCCACTGGATGCAACAAATGCCTCGTTTATAATGGGTTTTCATGTTTTTGAATCATCGCTCCGGCCTGACAGGGCATCATCACAATATGGTGGGGTCGTAACATTTCCATCACACGCTTGAGGTATTCGGCCAATCACAACGCTCTGGATAGCTGGCCAATCAGAGCACACCTCGCTTTTAAGACCGATGAGCTTCGTAAAAATCGACTCGTTTCAGAAAGACAGGGCATAGAGGAGAAATAATAATCTACAGTATGTGGAAAAGAATGTGTATTTTTAACCTTAAACCCCATAAACACATTTCATTACACCAAATACACAAAATAATGTTATTTTTAGCAGCATCATATGACCCCTTTAATAATGCATTAGTAAATGTTGAAATTAACATGAACTAAGATAAATAAATGTTGAAAGAGCTATTATTCATTCTTAGCTCATGTTAACTAAAGTAGTTAACTAATGTTAACTAATGAACCTTATTGTAAAGTGTTACCAATATTAATATAAATTCTGTCCAGTTTTATTGTGTTACTTTCAGTAAAAGTGCGGTTATTTTATTGGCTTGCTTTTTTTAAATTCAGTATCATTAAAATTTTGTAAAATTTAGTTAAGTCTTACAAAATTACTTTATATTATTTAATAAAATAATAAATAATCATTACAAAGAATTTTCATCCCATTTTGCACTGCAGCAATAAAACTGAAGTGAGATAAACAAACTGAGAAATGTTTCTTTTTAGTTAAAACAAATGTTGCCAAAGTTTTCTTTGGGGACATAATTTGAAGTTGGAAAAAGGTAATAAATTGCAATATATCGCAGAATATCGCAATAATATTGTATCGTGACACAAGTATTGTGATAATATCGTATCGTGAGGCCTCTGGTGATTCCCACCCCTACACAGTAACCAACTGAGCCAGTAGAAAAACTCTGCTAATGATTCAAAGCTTGTCAATATCAAATAAGATAGTCATTCTGTAAATGTTACTGTTAAAGCTGCCAAAAATAGCCTAACAGGCTTCATAGTCTATAGTCACCGTGGTTAGGGTGCATATAGACTTGTGCCGGTATTCGGGCACTTCTAAATACCGTGAATAATTATATATTACAAATTATTCCGAATTTTGAATGCATTTTAAGAATACTTTTCTCATCAACTGGTCAAAATGCACAACACTGCTGTATGCTGCGTGAAAGACTTCAGATTTTCATTTGGCCCTAGCATAAAGTCGTTCCACTTAAGTCAGACAGCAAAAGTGCAAAATATTTCAAAAAATGAATGTCTACCGGGTCACATAAGATGCTAAATATCATTAGTGTTGCAAATAAGCATACAAGTTATAACAGAACAAAAATAATAACCAGTTTCTGGCACTGTTGCCATCATTTGTTGATTTTTTTTTCTTTACTTACTTAAGTGACAATGTAATGTAGTAACCCATCACTGAAAAAAATGTAAATGTAGGATTTACTTGATAGAATATTCTTAACAATTTGCACTAACAAATTTTAAGTAAACTTTACTGAAACTGCTCTGTACAACTGACCTGTTATTGTCGCGTAAAATCTACTTACTATTGAACTCATTAAGAAATTAAGTTTACTCAGTCAAAGCTTACTTGGCAATACTTTGATTTTACTCAATATAGCACTGTATGTGCTACTCAGAAACATCTAACTAAATAATAGTATAGATATGTAGACACCGTATCGACATAATTAGTAATGCAGCACTCACACAAACACAGACAATAATAGGTACAATAGACAATGATGGTCACATTCTGTGAATTGTTTTTGATTGTGAATGTGCCATTTTGAGTAGAAAATGAAGATGTAACAAAATTGCAAGTTAGCCTACTAAACCTAACAACAAAAGCAATGATAAAACAGTGTAAATACAGCTGGGAAACAGCCAAAAAAAAAAACTAATTAATTATTCATGCCCCAGTGCATGATGGGATCACCAGTATCAGAAAAGTTGAGTAGGTTTTACGTAATTTTACAACGTTGATATTTACGCTTCAATTTATAATATAGAAATACTATATTAATATAGTTTTTTTATTTTTTATTCTTGCCTGAACTAACTTTTTTTGTGTAGAAATTTGCATTTGTTTTTCTGTAGTACTTAATTAATCTCAGAATCATTTTCATCAGTGTACTTTGGGTTTGTCCTCTGCAATTAACCCATCTAAGTGCACACACACAGCAGTTAGTAAACACGCACACCTTGAACACACTCCCGGAGCAGTGTGCAGCCGTTTGCTGTGCCGCCCGGGAGCAACTGGGGGTTCGTGGGTATTGAGGGTGGAAGATGGTGTGTGAGGGTGTTCATTCACTCCACCCACCTACATTTCCTGCCAGTACTGGGAATCAAACCCGTAACCTTCAGGTGACAAGTCCGACTCTCTAACCATTAGGCCACAACTGCCCACCACCGTTTTGTCATGAATGACTGTGCAGAGTGTGGCATCAAGCTGAGTACTGATTACCTTGATGCATCCAGATCAGAACAGCATTATTAGGTTATGCCTCAGTTACCGGCAGACCGGAAACTGAGGCATAACCTAAAGGCCCCGATATACTGTACTTCAAGCAAAAGTGATGGGAGTGCTAATTTGCAGAGCTTGTGCAAGCATACCCATGTTGTTATGATTAGGTGCTTGCTGTTTTCTCCATTTTTGTTGTGTTTGTTTTGTTACTGAGAGGAAAGCAGCACATATTTACATATTCATATAAAGGTCACTTTCACCAGAGTGGGCGGCATTGGGATGTTTGATAACAGTATACCGCTGATCACATATTTCGAACTTCATTTTACGCCTAAACAAAGAAAGAAAAATAACTTTTTTTGAGTATATCAGGGCCTTAAGGAAGAAGAATGTTGCAAACAAGTGCGCTTTATACATGTACACTATGGCATATGGCAATTGTGGCCTAATGGTTAGTCGGACTTGTAACCCAAAGGGCATGAGTTTGATTCCCGGTACAGGCAGATTTTTTAGCATTAGATGTTTTACTGTTTTTTTTTTTAACTCATAAATACTGAATTGCAAATGCTAAGTTACATAATGGTATAATTTTCTTCATTTCCCATGTGTGCTTGACCCGGTAAATATACAATTTAAAATATTAAATTTGGCCACAATGTTTATTACTTGATATGGCATGCATTAGACACCGAGAACCATGATGTGTTACTGATATTTTTACTGGAATAGTGAAATTTAGATCGATAGATAGATAGATTTCTAAATTTAGAAATTTTAGTCTCATAACAATAATAATTTAATCAGTGGTGTAGTCTGTAAAAAAGTGGTTTACTATTATCCAGTCACTCACTACCACATTAACTCTTCTCTTCTTCAACACTTCACATACATATGCTTAACGCTTAACATACAACAGGTGACTAAATAATACATGCACATTTATGTGCTGAATCTCGACATACTTATTCACATACCTTCATACAAATAAAATATATGATATTACTTGTATTTACCGTGTTTATTTAAGAAAGCTTTGCCCCAATGATGCAGTCTGTTCCTCTTCTCTTTGCTTCTCCTTCGTGTAGATTTCCGCCAGTGTAGACGCTACTAGACGTATTACTGCCCTCCACAGGTTAAAGTTTGAACTAAATTCTTATATACAGTGTGTTATGCAAGAACTGAAGAACTGTCTCAGAGATTAGTTTATTATTGTCACTAGCCGATTTTCCACTGTCGGGCCAGTGCGTGTCAGGGCTAACAACGAGCCGTGCTGGGCCAATGGCCTCTCACCGACCTCAAGCTATACGGCTGCAGACCTGGAGCAGGCAGATCTACGACCCAGGCAGTTTTACGCCCCTGCTGTTCCTTATGCGTCCAGTAGAGGGAGGAGGATACACGGCGAAATGATTAAACCGACGCTCGAAACTTCATTAATAACAGTCCCGTCCATAGAGTTTTTGTGTGTGTGTGTGTGTGTGTGTGTGTGTGTGTGTGTGAATTTAAATATAAACATTACATTAAGATATTAGATGATCTGCACTACGGATTAAAATATCTGTAAATATTAACTGTTGGTCTACATTCATAGCCTACAGGACAGAACTGAATTAGTATTAAAAAAAAACATTAACATTACACATTTAATTAGTGAATTAAAAAATGAATAATACACATATTTGGATCAAATGGACAATGTCATGATAAATGATCTACTGTAGCCTAATTATATTAACTGTAGATTTTCATATATACAGAAGACGGAGTGATATGTTGTTGTGAATTTATATATAAAGTTACATTCAGATATTAACCATATTTAGCCCATCAGTCATACAGTGTAATAATATGGATCATCAATGAAATATTGATTTATGCTTTAGTATTCACTATTGGTTGTCATACAGCTACAGAACAGTGTCCTACAAAGCATTTTATAAAGACAAACACAATTCACCCTTTTCTAAAATTCCAAGGGCCATTTAGCCATCTGAGAAGAAAAAGACAACTTTTTTGTGTACAACAATATTATTTATTAACACCATTATTAAAAACATGAACTAGGATGACTCCCGTTGATGACTCTCTTTTAACTGTTGTTCAATCCTCCTGTCAAAATGCTCCCACTCACTGGTAAAAAAAGTTTTTTAAAAAGTTGGATAGTTGTAGAAAGAAATGGTTATTTGTGAATAATGGCAGATTGTCATGTTTGACCATGTTTTCCTTTATAGTATCCTTACAGTACCTTATGTAAGTGACAGGTCCTCCTCGCAGAAATTTCTCCTCAGACTTTAGGATGGACAGATTTTCCACAAAAGCCAGGGCACAGATAATGGACTACCAGAGAAAGAATTGAGATTGATCACACACCCCAAGTAGCCAAGTATCATTTCACATGTTTAGCTTTTTAGAACAAGATGAAAAGTGTCTCTTCTATAATAACCACAAAAAACATTCTTTTTAGAGCAATGGTCTCACATTATGGATAAACTATTTGACATTAAAAACAATGTGAATCTGACATCATGCAGAGCACAGCTAACACATGAGACCAACCTCTGGAAAAGTACATCCATGATGAATTCGATCTCATCACTGTGGGTGTGCTGTCCAGAATTGAAGTCAGGTGAGAGTGGACTGCATCAATCTGCTCCAGATCTTCAATGTATACCGGCACAGGTGTTGACTTGGCACAATGCTTGGAAAAAGTGTAAAGCCACTTTGAATTATTTTGGCCACTGCCTTGCCTTTCAAAAGAAAGAACATATTTTAATTTGCTGACCCCCCCAATACGATAACTCAGGCAGATTCATAATTAAAAATGTTTTAATTTCATTTAAATAGTTTGAATGTAGGTTATCAAGAATAGAAATGTGAGCATGTGGGAATTTTACTGAGGTGATTATGAAAACCATGACAAGGCATGATTGATTGATGCCTTATGACTATGCTGATGATTTATTGCATTTTTCATCTGTGCTGTGTTGCCTCAGTTTGGTCAGTTATTTCCATTGGCAAAGAAGGGACTTCAAGAATGAAACAACAAACTGAGATGTTCAGAAACTAGTATACATACCCCTCTGTCTCAAACTGCTCACCACCACTCCCTGATTGCAGGAATGTCAAGCTAACAGAAATTGAAATGTTACAGGATTAGTATTCAGATCTTATTGTTAGAACTCAATGACCAGCAATAAAGAACAACAACTTTATAGCAACCTTTTAATAAAGAAAATAGAAAAGCTCACCTGAGGGAAATTGAATGGAGTGTTCAGCACGGTATAGAGGGCATACTGTCGACGTTATATGCCATAGGAACGTGGCAATTGTCTCTTAGTTGTGGACCTAAAGATGTCTCTGTGCTGGTCATCTCCAAAGGCTTTGATTACTATACAGGGAGACTAGAAGGAGGATCTCTCTTAAGAGTGGCATCTGTACCTACAGTATAAGGATGCATATAAAAGTGTTATAACAATCCATTTCACATTTGCATTATCTTTGCCTTATGATATTGGGGTAAAATCACCCTCTGTAAAACCGCCATAAAAGAACAATCCCTCCAAACCACAAAGTTTAATAAGTACTATATTCTTATGACCTGCATCATGTAAAATCTTACATATAACAGATAATGATCTGGGCTAGTGGCTTTTGTTCATGCAGGGAACACAAGGGCATCCTTCATAAAAGCATTATCCTAAAAAATTACACAAATAACACCAATAAAGTATACCTTTTATTTTACTTCTGACTTAGGGTGGATGTCAAATAGTATGATTTATGCATTCAATACTCACTGGAGAGTATAGGCTAGGGGATTTGTGGTGTTCTGAGTAAGCCTCTAGAGGGAGCTCTAGTATGTGAGTTAGGTTTGGTAAAAGGATGACAAAAGGGGTACACGAGTGGTGGTGAATAAAGAAGGTTACACTGAGTTCGACACAGCGTGCATTTGCTTATTATTGAAATACTCAACAGGATTGTGGCCAGGCCCGTAACCAGCTATGAGGCCACCGAGGTGATGTTCAAAAATCAAATTTGTTCTTTGAATGACTAATTTGCTGTTAAACTCCTCATATGAATGCCTGCATGACATGTATAATTAAGTTTAGACAGTTTGCAAGAATGTTTAGCGTCCCTGTTATGAAAATGTTCGCTGCGAGACGCTGACGGAGTGAACGAAGCTTGAGAGAGTTGTGAGTGAGGGTGCAGGCGCAGCCTCTTATCATATCTTATTTGCAAAAGATTGGAAAAAATTTCGGTTTTATTTTTATTTATTTTTAATTTTTTGTTTGTTTTAGTATCAATATCTGGCAACACTGCATCGCCGGCACTTAGGCAAGGCAAGTTTATTTATATTGCACATTTCATACACAATGGTAATTCAAAGTGCTTTACATAAAAGAAATGAAAAAAATCATCACAACAATAAAACAAGGAATTTAAAACTTTGAAAATGATATAAAAATTGATTTAAGAGGTTTAAAATGAATTTAAAACCGTTAAGAATAGAAAATGATTATACAAAAAATATAGTGCAATCAGTTCGGACTGTAACGGGGCTGACGAGATGTGAGACGTGCAGATCCATGTGCAAGCTTTTATTTAGAGCAGAAGAGGTCAGAAACACAGGCAGGGTCGAACAATGGCAAACAGGTATATGGCGGGCAAGACACAAGAATAATCCTAGGGCTAGTGAAGGTCAACGATCGGCGAACAGAATCAAAAGGGCGAGACTAGAAGGATAAATCCAGAAAAACAGGCAAAGATCAGAAGCCAGGAAAACAGACAGGGCAAGACTAGACTAGGACTGGGACTGGGAAACTAACGAGGGCTCTGTAAGGTAGCTATCACTGCTGGCGATAAGCGCATACATTACTCGGCAGCTGACGGGGATCAGAGTGAGTGTATATATAGGGAAGGTGTGATTCATGACAGCTGTGTGCAATCAGTGCAATGGATGGTGGGATATGTACACAAACTGATGACAAGCAACAGTTTGTGTAGTGCGAAAGTCAATGTAATGGAAGGGTGACCTATGGTGGTGATTGAACGGAAGTCCATGGACAGGATTCGTGACACGGACATTGAACAGTGCTCATTCAGTAAATGCACAGCTAAACAGATGAGTTTTGAGTCTGCATTTAAATGTGACTAATGTTGTAGCACATCTGATATTTTTAAGTGAATTTTCATTTTTATTATTATTCTATGTTTAAGTTTGAACATCCATCCTTTGGTAAGAGTAGTAGTCACAATTTCAACCTGTAGCCGACTTATTTGGGGGATATCATATTCATAAATTAGTTTCCACAAAGAACCCAATTGTTCACTTTTAAGACGTTACTGTTGTGATTAGTAATTAATTGGTTATTCTTTATTAATTGGTCATAGTTCGCAAGTAGTTCTCAATGAGGATATTTTTATTTAGTAATTATCAAATATCTAATAAGTAACTACCTTTGTCCTAAATTTGCTACTACTTACTGCTTAGTTAATCTTGCTTCTCTATTAGTTAATAGTATTAAGTTAAGTGTTAATGTAGTACTACCTATTACTTCCTGCATAGTTACTTGTTAACAACAGACCATTATTTTAAAGTGTTACCAACAGATCTAGATTCAGTGGTCGCAGAGATCAATATATCAAAGAAAATACAGAAGTGATCAGATAGTGCTACGTCCTTAACAACAATGGATGAAATGTTTAGACTAGACTAAATGTTTACGCTTGCCTCATCAAGCTGCAGTTGCTTACTCATGTTAAGTAACCGCTATGAAAGAGAAGGTGCCAAAATGGATAGAACTGCTCGCATCATTATTGTTTTTTTTAACCTTTGGTATTGCTTTCAAAGAAGGTCTGTCTGCTGCAAAAGTACTAAGATTGTTCCAAAGAGAGCGAGCTGTCTGCCGAAGACAATTTTTGCGAAGGCAAGCAGAAATCTTCTCTCTGCTTAGTGCGTCAATACCGCTTGTCGTCAAGGTAAGTGAGCGTATACAGACACAGACAGAAAGACAGACAGCAGTGGTAGACGAAGTACACAAATCAAGTACTTGAGTAAAAGTACAGATATGTATAATAAAATATTACTC